CTGGAGATGCCAGAACCTTCTGCACTCAAGCTATTATTCTTTGTTCCTCTTAGATACTGGTATTGATTGACCCTATTCAGGCACCCTGCTCACATATAAAACCTAGAACTTAGCAGGCAGAGTGGGGATGAGTGTGTCATGCTCTGTCCCACACCACCACCACCATCGCCTTCCAACTCACTGAAGGGAACTCTCTGAACTGAAGAGCCTCCTCCTCTGTTTGTGAAGGTTCCTACACAATCTAGAACCCAAATCTGTGCATGGAATCCCCACGTGTACTGGTGGCTCCTCACTTCAGATCTTCAACTTCTACAAGTTAGAAGACAATAGGGGTAGTGGCCTGGGGTGCTTAGCTAGGGATGGGTAAATATAACAATTTTGGTTTTTCAAGGTTTTTTCAATTTCCCAGCCTTTATAGTCCTCGTGAAAATTCTTCAGCATTTCTGTGTGGATTCCTCCTATTTAGGTTTAGGGAAAGTTTAGGGAAGTTTTAAATGACTGATGTTTTAATGTATTTTTAATCTTTTGTTGGAAGCCTCCCAGAGTGGCTAGGGAAACCCAGCCTGATGGGTGCGGTATAAATAATAATAAGTTGTTGTTGTTGTTGCTATTATTTTATTTCTTCCCTAACACAGGCCATTTTTCTATTTATTTTCACTAATATATGCAAACTTTATTCTAGTATATGCATTGGTGTATACATTGCTTGACTGGAGAACTGCATTGCATAATTCTGGGACGTGCAAATTTCAAACAATAACCGAGTTTCAGTTTGCATATTGTTTCCAAAGGTGCAAATTAGGTCAGTTCTCTTTTGAATGGAAACTCAATAAAATCTCTACCCCACCTCCAAGCCTAGTACACCCTTCTCCAGGTTATCCAACTAGGTCTAATGCCCAAACAGGGTACTGCTTGATGCTTCCAGTTTGCCATTATTATTTGTTCTGGCTAACACCAGCTCATTCAATACTCTGCGTCTTGAGGCTCCGGAGTCGTTCCAGTTGGCTCATGGGATGGATTTGAAGGTCATGATAATTAATTTCAGTCTTCTGCTGTTTATATCTTTGTTGCATCCAATTTGTCTGCCCGACATTCTTCCGGGGTTTTCATGGGTGTAAACTGGCAGTCCTCAAATCGGGATCCCACTGAAGCCAATTCTCCGCACTTGTAAGCATTTCTCTGAAGCAAACACCATAAGGAATGCAGCCATCATCGAATGAATAGCTGTGCATTGGAAGTTCCAAAGTGTGATTCCTGACCTTTCGGAGGAAAAAGGCCTTTGTGTGTGCCAAGCCTGTGGGGGGAATGCCAGAGAGAAGGACGAGGTGGCAAGGAGCCAGTTCGGGTTCTAAAAATGTAAATTCTCTGCTATCTCTCAGGGTCTCCCATGTTCTTTGTGGAATTCATATATTGCCTCTGGGAGGCCGATTGTCAGAGCACCTGTATGCAAATTGAACATGAACACAAGTTGATGCCAGAATCCTTTGCTGTTAAATTGCTACGGCAAAACTGAACTAATGTAGAGGGGGGAAATTCCCTCTGACTTGCTAAAGAGAAATGATCTTAAAAACCACTATAGCAAAGTTCAAACACAAGTCACCCTTGGTTTTCTTATCATTTCCTACATCATATTTAACTCAGAACACTTCATTTTTTAAACACCTGATTTCAAAATGCATTAGAATAGTGTGCTCTAGGCAACTGGATGCAGCAGCCACTCAGGTTTGAGTAGGGCAGAGTGGTGCAGTGGTTAGAGTGTCAGACTAGGACCTGGGAGGCCAGGGTTCAAATCCCTGCTCAGCCATGAACCTCACTGGGTGATCTTGGGCCAGTCAGTGTCTTTTAGCCTAACTTACCTTATGGGTAGGTAGGGGAATTAAATGAGGAGGAGAAATATGTATGCCACTTTGATCTCATTGGAAAAAAAACAGTTGAATATAAATGCAATAAATAAATATTTGTATGCCACTTTCCCAGCAATCAAGATGAGCTTAAAGCGGCTCACAGCAAAAGCCAAACATTTTAAAATAACCCTTTTTTATTTTGACAATGCACAAAAAGATTGATCGAAACATTTTTCTAACCATGAATGATAAAATGGTAAGCGAAACACAGTTGAAATCCACAACCCAAATTTAAAAGAAATCTACATAAAACCATCATATATATTTTTTAATGAACTCAATAAAACTTTTAATACAAATACAGGTAAGTAAATTCTATATCTGGATAGGTAGGCTTTCATTTATTTAAATGAACGAAATAGAAGGGAGAGTGATTTGGGTACATACAGGGTTCCTTATGGACAGGTGACTAGTGATTTAAAAGTCTGTGCTGGGATAGGGAGGGGATCCAAGCTGAGGAAAATGCTGCTCCGTGCATTTTTCTTGCATTGCCTCTTTTCCAGGATGATTACAGCTGCACCTTTTCAGCACCTTGGAAGTCAGCCTTGGAAAGTCATCCCATTTAAGCCTGCCAGAGGCTGTCTTGGCCATGCATCATGTCTGCAAACACACCCTCCACAATGGCCTGTTCTTAAGCTAAGTGTGTCAATTAGCTCACTTAGCTTCAGGCTTTGGAAATGTGTTTTCTGGCACACAGGCAGGCAACATGATGGAGAAGCTGATCTAAATAAAGTGCATGTCAGCAGGTTACAGTAGGGGACTCTAAGTCAGCCTTCCCACCCTGGGCGCTTGCCAGATGCTTTGCACCACAACTCCCATCAGCAATGCCCATTCACCGTGCTCTCTGGGGCTGATGGGAGTTGCAGTCCAAAACATCTGGAGAGTTGGGGATAGATGTGCCATGGAGTTCTGTGGTGGGTTATAGCAATATAATTAAAAGAAAACAGAAAAACTTGAAACAAGTGTCTAAGTGAAATCCATATGATCATAAGGCAAATCAAATGCAAATGCATACCGTCAATAAAAATCAAGGCTCAAAATACATTACTAAAACAAAATAATGAACACTGCAATTGAAAGGAAATACTGTCTGGAAATGCCTGAACAAAACAAGTAAGTTTTTAATAGGCATCTTAAACAAGTTAATGCCCCTCAAACAACACAGGGAATAATATTCTGGACGTTCAGTGTCACCAGTGCTTTTTTCCTAGATAAGTAGGTATAATGAGTATGGGTTGCTCGTGCGTAAGTTGCTGCCTCTCCAGGCTTTGTTGCCTTGGTAAACCTTTCAGTCTGGGCAGCCCTTCACTTCATGGCTGCCTCAGTCGCTAGCAGAATCCGTCAGTGGGCGTTTCTTAAATCTTTTCCAACATAAAAGTTGTTTGACACCCAGTCTCTTCCTACTCTCTCTGCGCGGAAGTCTTCTGTGCAGGGTGGGCGTGGGTAGCGGGGGACCAGTGCTCTCCCCGCTGGTGTCCGGTGAAGAGTCCTGGAGCCCTCTCGCCGATTCCCCCATCAGCCCCTCCTTATCCCTGGTGTAGCGCTGATTTGCTTCCCCATCTGCGGAGCTGCCTCTCTCCCTGCTGGGCCCTTCTCCAGCATCATTTGAGAGCCTTCCCTCCGCCTCTAGCTCCGATGTCAGTTCCCTGACAGTAGGTGTCAGTACTCACCATGAAGTTGTTATAGTAAGAGCACAAAGGTGCTGGCACGGCATACCCCTGAGTACCCCCTGAAAAAAAGCACTGAGTGCCATAGACCTCTACGTCGCTGTTGGATGAGCAAGTTCAAGATTTTGATCATCAGTGCTTTCTCAACTAGGGTCAACTGAATTAAACTGAATTAGTTGAATTAAAACATTGTCTACAGGCAGGTTAAATCAGGATTTTGTCCCTGTTGGGTTATCTAAAAAATCCTTTATAATTTTTGAGAGGAAAATATTCAAGGAAGAAAATGATGCTTTTCAAGTCTTAATAAGAGTTTGCTGTATTTTACTTTTCCCCTTTAAAAAAGCGAGATAGCATAAATTTACTTTAAAAACTTGACACTAAATCTTAAATCATTAGTATACCTCATTTGTGGAACATAAAGCCTAGTGACTTTGTTAATAGGATTTAAGATGCTGAATTTCCTTATTTCATTTGCATTACCATGCAAGCTTCCCCCGCCCCTTTGTCCAGGGAAACATGCCTATCTCCTTCAAATGTCTGTGTTTTTTGGAAGCTACAAGTGGTCTGGTCTAATCGGTGTCTATGAGACAGGGAGAAAGCAAAAAAGAGAGTTTCTCCTGGGGGAGATGGGGCTGATTACCATAATGTGCAGGCTCTTTGTGTGGGTAGTCAGCTCAAGAGGAGTTTTTGAAAAGAGACCAACTTGCAGATCTGGTCTATATTCACTTCATCTTCTAAGGCCAGCGTGGAATGGATGGAGCCTTCAAAATAGTTCAGTGAATTATTAAAACAGGGTGCAGACAAACCACAGAGGTTGCCCCATCAGAAATACATTCCATTGCATAGGGCAATATATAATAGACCAAATTAAGAGAGCCTGGGTGCTCCATTTTGTCCAGTATTGTCTACATTGTCTGGTAGCAGCTCTCCTGTGCTACAGACTGAGGACATTCTCAGCTCTATCTGGAGATGCCAGGGATTGGCTTGGGACCTCTCATGAAAAGGAGATGCTCAGGTACAGCCCTTCTTAGTGTGTCATGTTCTCCCCTCACTGCTGTTGTATAAGGTTATATTTAGTGAAACAATGAGGATTAGCTAAACAAAACTCAAGCAAGTGCAAGCAGTGGGGAAGCTTGTGCAGACAGAAAGACCTTCTGTCTGCCACCTAGGCAAAACCCACCTGGATTGGGCTCCATAACCCTAAATATTGCTATGAGAGACAAAGTTCTTCATCTCCCCTCAAGGGAAGCAGTGGCTTTGCATGACAATCACACCATCCAATTAAAGTGCTTTCATACCACTTTAAACAGCCAAGGGTTCTGCCTGAAGAATTATGGGAGCTGCAGTTTGTGGAAAGGTGCTCAGAGTTGTGAGGAAACCCATTTCCCTCTCAGAGCTACATTTCTCAAAGAGTTTCCTGTGAAGAAGTGATTGATTGCTCAGTCGGTAGAGGGTGAGACTCTCCATCTCAGGATTGTGGGTTTGAGCCCGACATTGGGCAAAAGAGTCCTGCATTGCAGGGGGTTGGAGTAGATGATCCTCATGGTCCCTTGCTTTCTGTGACTGCTAAAGCATTCTGGGAATTGTAGCCCTGGGAGAGGGAGGGGGCCTCCTAGCAAATCTCAGCACCCTTACTGCTCCTACTGCTCCCAGAAATATTTGGGGCAAGTAATGACTGTTTAAAGTTGTGTGGTACTGCTTTAACTGTATGGTGTGAATGTGGCTCTGATTAGCTGCCCACCACTACTGTTTGGCAGGGGGCATCCATCAGGCCCAAGAGCACCAAGCCAGTTAGCAACAGAAAAAGAATGGAGATGTGTCCTTCATCCAAACACAACTTGGGGTGCTCACCAGTGTTCCAAGCTATTAATTTGCCTATACTAAATGCCAAATTATAACCAACAGTCAAATCAACAAACCCCAATGCACCAATAGGGCAGTGCGGAGTAAGTGCGGGGGGGGGGGGGGAGATGCACAAAAGACCAACTGGGGAACACCTATAAAATTCCTCCTCAGCCCACCAAGCAGACATGAGGTTGCTCAGAGCTGCAGCATCAATTTAAAAAGCCAACAGAACCCCCTATTTGTTTTTTCCTTCAGGAGGGAGATGCTTCCTTTTCTAGAGGGTGGGGCAAATTCACTCCCATCTGAAGGACAGAAACAACATTTTCCTTTACTCTTTTTACAATGGCCTGTGCTCTAGAAGTTCTGATCAATAGACAGTTCTTACTGTCTTCAATGATTTACTTTGAACTAGTGTTTCCTAATAAAGAAATGTTTAGTTCCCATTTTCTTCTACAGTACCCATTTTGGTTGAGAAGACATAAACATGATCAGTAAAAAAAAGAGCCTGTAAACATATCTGTAGCAAAGATCCTGTTTTGTAACTGCTGTCATGTCCTGGATTCCTTTGTTAAAGCAAGCAATATTCACAGCTAATTAGAAGCATCTCTCCTAATTCTATGTACATCCTTGAGAACTGCTTTCAGCTATGTCAGGTAATTGTCTCATTTGGCCTGGCTTCTCTATGTTTTTAAACAATCCCATTCTCATCATTAGTCAGCGTTAGTCATTAGCAGCAAACATTTTCTTTTCCCATCCATTATATTACTGTTGTCTGCCTTGTTATGAAAATGTAATTGTTCTCCTTCATTTTCATAAGATTAAGAGATGTGTTCACAATAGTTACTGGGTTTTGTTGTTGCTATTATTGTTGTTGTTGCTATTCTTCAAATGACCCATTAGGATACTGGCATATGATGAAGACAGATGATGGTTAAAGGCTTGAAAATTAACAATCCTTTTTACAAATGTCTTCAGTTTCTAAAGGGAGGGGATTGGATCTTGACGAACAAACATTTTAGGGGCGTCTTTGGTTTTAACTGCCTGACCTTGTTTTGTTAGAAGGCTATAATAGTGCTGTTAGCATTTCAAAATAAATTTGAACTTTCCAAATGAAGAATTTGAAAGTTCCAGAGGTAGCCAGTCCTTTATTGGTTTTCTTCTTAAAAAATAAGCAACAACACAATAACTGTAAAGTTGGAAGAGACCACAAGAGTCATCTAGTCATCTAGTCCAACCCCGCCCCCCTGCAATGCAGGAATCTTTTGCTCATTGTGGGGCTTGAACCCACAATCCTGAGATTAAGTATCTCATATACAACAAAAGAACAGCTGTCTCCAGTAGCACGGCACAGCATGTAATATAGTCCTGTTATGCAACATGTGAAAGAAAAGAATTTGGATTATCCTACAGAAGAAAAAAAGTAGCTCAATATCAGAAATATAAACTAGCCCCCCAAAATGATATGCCCTGTGAAGTCCCCTGTTCTGCACCATCTTTGTATGCGTGGTAAAATTCCACTATAAATTGTGCTTTCAGAGAGTGCTTATTCTGATGATGTTTAAATAATAACAATAAAATACATAAATAAACCATCAGTTGTGTTAACTTTATACAGAAAATGCTGAACGCACTAGTAATAAATACTAGATTTCGACTGTAAAAATTATACAAAGGGTACAGCTGGGTTTGAAATTAATGGAGAGATTTCAGTCCTCTCCATTTACGTATCTTTGGCGACCACTCGTAGCCAAGTAAGATTGTCTTCCTTGAACACGGTCTTAATGGAGTGTCCATAAATGACTGTGGAGGCCAATTCTGGATACACACGTCCTTCCACAGCGGGGACATAGATTTCCAGGCGGTGAGGATTTGCCAAATGTGCCTTCCTCTTTGCATGTTTCTCCCTTTCGTCCTGGGTTCAGGCTTCTTCAAAGTCCATGACACCTTTGGTAAAGGCTGTTCTCCAGTTGGAGCACTCACAGGCCAGTGTTTCCCAATTTTCCGTGTTTATACTGCATTTTTAAAGATTTGCCTTGAGAGTGTCTTTAAACATCTTTTGTTGTCCACCGGTATTTTGCTTTCCATTCTTAAATTCAGAATAGAGTAGTTGCTTTGGAAGACGATAATCAGGCATATGAACCACATGGCCAGTCCAGCAAAGTTGTTGTTGAAAAATCATTGCTTCAACACTGGTGATCTTTGCTTCTTCCAGTACATTGACATTAGTTTGCCTGTCTTCCCAAGTGATATATAATTTTTTTGGGAGACACTGGTGATGATGGAGTTGGAGATGGCATTTATAAGTGGTCCATGTTTCACAAGCATACAGTAAAGTTGGTAGTACAATAGCTTTGTAAACAAGCATTTGGGTTTCTCTGTGAATGTCCTAGTCCTCAGACACTCTGTGCTTCAATCAGGAGAAAGCTGCACTCGCAGAACTCAGATGATGCTGGATTTTGGTATTGATGCTGGGCCTTGTGGAAAGATAACTGCCCAGGTAGGAAAAGTGATCGACATTTTCAAATGTTACACCATTAAGTTGGATTTGTGGCACTGCAAAGGGGTGGATTTGTGCTTGTTGGTGCAGCACTTTGGTTTTTTAGATATTGAGTGATAGGCCAATCTTTCTGTTAGTGTCTGTGAATATATTTCAGATAGTTTGGAGGTCGTCCTCTGAGTCTGCACACACTATGTTGTCATCAGTATATTGAAACTCTATGATGGAAGTTATGGTAACTTTGCTTTCAGCCCACTAAGGTTAAATAGCTGTAAGTCAGTGGTGGGAAATTTCTCGCCCATGGGTCATATAAGGCCCAGCAGATTTCCTAATTTGTCTCATGAAGCCATATTCCCAAACCTGGCCCATCTAGGAAGGTAAAGTTACGGGAACAAAGGAATGATTGGAAGCCTTAAAGCAAGGCTTGATATAAGCATCAGCTAGCTGACTGGTACTTGCAACAAATCCCACTGGATTAGATCATCAGGGAACTCTGCAGGCAACCAATCCCTGCCCAGATCAGCAGTTGCTCTCAGTGCCTATCAGCTGATTAGTGCTTGCAGAAAGCCCCAAGGAGAAACACATACTTTGAAATCAAACCACACAGGCAAGAGAAACAGGGATTGCAACAGCTGCTAATCAGCTGAATTGAGATTATCAAAAGATAATGCTTCACCTAATGTCATGGTGAATGAGATTTTGCAAACCCTGCTGTTCTCATGATATATGTATGGGGGGGGGATTCCTTTCCTCGTGTCGGGTAAAAATAGGGAAAGTAGCTGGTGTTGTCTAGGACCAAACTGGGTTAACAACAGATGCAAGAAAAATATAACAGATGGACTAGGTGGGGTTGCCCGTATTTCTTTCCTCACTTGAGAGGAATGTGAGCAAGGGAAAGGTGAAAAGAGCAAGAAGTACATTCCCGTACCAAATGGTAATAGCAACCTGCTATGAAAGGCTCAGATATAATTAAGCATTAAAATGGAAATCTGCTTGACAGCCCACGTTTTGGCACATTTTAAAGAATCTCCTTAGGGTGCATTCGGTTAAATCAGAGGTTGTGGGTTTTTTTGGGTTTTTTTAAAGGATCCTTTAATTTTTTCTGGATACACCCAAGTGATATATGCCAGGGCAAGTTAAAAGAATGTAGGAGTAGCTGCTAAATAGATTAATCTCTTAATGTTAACCTCATCTGCTGAAAAGGGCAGACTGGCTGTCTCAGGTTGCCCTCTAAATTCCAGTCTCCAACTAACACCTGAGGAAAATGAAGTGATGCTGTCCAGGTGGCAAGCTGCTCTTTCCATTTTCAAAATAAAGGATGCTAGGGTGGTTTTAATAAGGGTATACTCTCTGTCTTCTTGACCTCCTTGGGATCCCCCCCCTCCGCTTCCTGCAATGGTGTGAGAACATCTGACCATAGTGGAAGGAAGGCTAATTTGCATCTACTAATACTGGGTTTTAAAAGTCAGCTACCTTTAGCAGGAAAACGCTGAAGAGGGAAGGCCTATACAGTGATACCTCGGGTTACATACGCTTCAGGTTACATACGCTTCAGGTTACAGACTCCACTAACCCAGAAATATTACCTTGGGTTAAGAACTTTGCTTCAGGATGAGAACAGAAATTGTGCTCCCGTGGCACGGCAGCAGCAGGAGTCCCCATTAGCTAAAGTGGTGCTTCAGGTTAAGAACAGTTTCAGGTTAAGAACGGACCTCAGGAATGAATTAAGTTCTTAACCCGAGATACCACTGTACTCTTGTTCCCACTGGGGCATTTTTATTTTGTTTTAATATTTGCAAATTAAAAAAAACACAAACATTTCCACTCCCAAGGAACTTTAATTGCCTCATTGCCCAAGTGCATGGGCCATTTAACACTAAGCCACAACTTCATTTTAAATGTAAAGAAAAGAGGAGCAGGGTATTGGTTCCCCTCGCCCCCCGCTTTTCTTATTATTATATTAGTTATTTTGTGTTGTGTGTTGTAAACCAGCCTGTGGTCTCTTGGTGAAGGGTGGTTTATAAATTTAATAATGATAATAATAATAAATAGCTAGTAAGTCATGGATAGTCACAATCACCCAATCACCCAATAACTGCCACAACCCAGAATGTTCCAGAATTTCTTCACCCACCCTCATTTTTCTTCAAAGGTCTGAT